TGGGACAAAAGCTCCAATCTATTCGTGGGGAGCATCACGTGTTGAGAACCGGGCTCAGCGTCCCTTTGAAATACAACTGAGAATATGTAACACATTTGAAATTTCGGGGCCATTACCCGGGTTCGGATAGGAAAACAATCAGTCAATTACCTATGAGAAACAACTGCAGTTCTCAGAAAACTGCCTATGATCTACCCAACCACAATCCAAACCTGGAAACATAAGATCCTAACTAAGACCTCCTACTGTTTACACCTCCCTTTCAACAAGCGAAGAAACGTTAAGTCCAAGCGTTTAGTCCTTGTACCAGAACTCAGTTGATCTCATACCCCTCTACGCTAGGTTTACAAAGCAACACAAACTTCCCCAGTACCAACCAGCCTGGTTCAGACGGCAAAGAATGCCTTCCTCCCTCGACACTCTCGATTAGCCACACGCCCCTAAGTTACACGGGAAAAACCCCGGCATCAGCTACGTCGGACAAACTGGTTATGCCTTCCTTTCTGGACATAACTCCACAGACCTCTTGCTCCCCCAGGGTACAGAGCAAAAGCTCCAGCACCGGTCTGCTTCGTCCCAACTTTGTCCATCTGACCTACTTACTTAGACAGACGTCCCTTCCCATGTTGAACCTCCCTTGCTTCCTCCCATCTTTCAGTTCTCACCTTCTCCTTCCCCCCTGACATTCTATCCACAATCTCCCTGATCATAGGCAAAAACCCATCAGAAAATTTATTAAGAACTTAGACTAGGAACATACGAGAAAAGTCTAATTGGCCTAAAAACAGGAAGAGGAAAACAAAACCCACCAACGATCCAGCTCGATCCTCGCACCACAGAGGAAAGACCGTAGCCCAGATGTTCAATCCTCCCACCAGAACTCGCTAGGTCTCATACCCCTCTACTAGGATGACAAGGCAACACCGACTGCCCTAGTACCGACCGAGCTGATTCTGATGGTCAGGAAGTGTCTTCCTCCCTCGACAACTTCCTTAGCTAAAAACCCCCCAAGGTTATAGGTTCACTGCCCCGACTTCAGCTGCGTTGAACAGGATGGTTATGCCTTCCACCCTCGACATAGCTCCAATAGTCTCAAGCTCCACCCCTGGTTACATAGCACCTACGCTCCAACACCGACCATTGTCACCCCACCCCGCCCTTCTAATTAGACCTACCCCCTGAACACTAATCCCTCCTCTGCCCGCGTACCCATCACACTTGCCTAACAACTTAGGACCAATCTTCCCCTTCCTGCTATCCGACGTCAACTAAAATTATACTAACAAAAATTTCAAAGAATTAAGAAAAATCAAGCACACAAAATCCTGAAGAATCACATGAACATTTAAGCGCCCACTATTCCCACAGGGAGAGGGGAAGAGAGGGAGAAGAACAACCCTCTCTTCCCATGGAAACTTCAACGCCTATTGAAGTCTCGGATACATATAAAAGAGGTCAGAAGAGCCAAAAAGATTACCGCCCTTCTCCAAAAAACGACCCCTTGTTTGTTTACTACCTCCGCGGGAAGGCGCCCCCTCACCTCCCCGCCCCGGTTCAAACAGCCCCCAGGATACCCCTCCTACTCCCTCAGTCGCATACAATACCCCCTAGAGTATGCCCCCGCAGAGTAAAAGGTCCCCCTATCTTCTTGCCCCACCCCCTTCAAGTGGAACAACCCTCTCAACTCCCACCCTGCAGACATCAGCACCCCTTGTCCTCTCTTCCCAACCGCCATAGTTGATCCGACCCGAAAATCAGCGCGTCCCAAAGAAGGACAAACCCTCAATACCGTCCCTACCATCTCAAAGATCACACCACTCACCTTATGTAACCCTCGCAGGGAGGGACTCCAACCCTAAAGGAGATATCCACTCCAGCACCTCCGACCCCGATCTCACAACATCATAGATGAGACTCCCTTGCAAGACTAAATACTTGAGTAAAAGCTGGTTAGCATCGAATTCGAAAAATCCATCGAGATAGAAGTAAGATGGGAATAAGAGAAATCGCTCAGACAGTAAATCCAAAATCAAAAGAAGTTTGAATCATGAATTAAGCAATAGATTCAAGAAATTTAGGAAATCAATCGCAATGAAGATAATATTGAAAATACAGTTTGATAAGATTTAAAAATCCAATAGGGAACAGAATAGGGAATCAATTCTGATGTCCGAACGAACTTATGACTCTGATTTCCAGAACCCAAGGTTCAAGAAATCGCTCAGACATTAAATCAGGAATACTAAGTAGAAAAACAAATTGACAATCAATTGAGTCAGAAAATACTAAGCAGAAAACGAATCGACAATCAATTGTGTACGAGAGAAACCATAACGCTTTTAAAAACAAATCACGAAATCAACAAGAAAAATTACGAACTACCGATTGAGATCAACTAAAAATCAGAATTACCATCCAAGAAATTACCTTCTAAGAAGCTCTCGTATCAAGAAAAAAAACAGCAAAAAAATTAGATCAGACCTCAAGAATTACTGGAGATTCCGTTGCTGCGTGAAGTCGCCTTGAAACGCCTGAAGTCTCAGTTCGTGCAATCCATCACGTACGGGACGGGCCGAACGCCCGAACCTGAACGCCCGAACCCGAACACCCGAACCCGAACGCCCGAACCCGAACGCCTGAACATACGGGACCCCTTCGGAAGGCGTTCAACAGTTCGGGCCTAACGCGGACCAGAAAAACAAAACAAAACATAGTTTTCAAAAAATTCCGAAAAAAACATATGTTATGGAGACAAATAAACTAAACAATATTTGCCTGGGAACTACATCCAAATTCTTTACCAAATTTGAATTAAAAATCAAATACAGAAAATAAGCACTATGATAAAAATAAGAAAAAATAAAAAGAGAATTAAAATGAGTGAGTGTGCCAACACC